TCTCTCTCTCTCTCTTTCTTTCTTTTTTTAAAGGGATTTTCTTTGTAGCCCTGGCTGTCCTGGAACTACTTCTGTAGACCAAATTGGCCTCAAATTCACCTGCCTCTGCCTCCTGAGTGCTGGGATTAAAGGTATGCACCACCAGTGCCCAGCTTATGTTCTTCTTCTTTAATAGTTTCTTCTTAGTTTCTTTCCATGATGCTGTAAATATGAACTAATAATATATTCCTAAAAGCTGAATATACCTACTCTTATCTTACATATCTCCTTACAGCTACACTAGACAGTAATGACATTACTAGATAAATCCTGCTTGATATTGAAATATGACTCTATGACACTATTAATGTTAATGATGCAATGAAGGTTATATAAATCTATGACGAAGTGTGATGAGATTGAAGAAGTCTACTATTAAGCTATACTTCTCCTTATGAGGTATTTATTTTATTTTTGATTGTTTGAGACAGGGTCTTACACAGCCCAGGATGACTTTAAACTTATTATTAACCAGAGGCTAACCCTGAACTGATCCTTTTGCCTCTATTTCCTAAATGCTGGGATTATAGGTATGCACTACCCTGCATGGCCTCCATAGGGTTTTTAACAGAGTTCATCCAGAGTCTAATAATACTGGTATGAACAATAAAGTTGTGAATTCCTGAAGGAACTGTATCATTTAAATTTTTTTTTACATTTACTTTTTGTGTTTATGTGCATGGTGCACACACAGAGGTCAAATGACAACTTTATTCAGGAGTCAGTTTTCTCCTTCTACCACGTGGGTCCCAGGATTGAACACAGGTTATCAGGCTTGGCACCATGAACCTCTACCTGCCGATACATCTCATGGTTCAAGGGACTATATCTCAATTACTTTTATGTCTTTGGGACTTAGCACACAGCAGATATTCATTAACTGCTTATTAAATAGCCATCTAAGGGCTCAGTAGTTAAGAGAACTTGCTGGTCTTACAGAAGAAGATTCAGATTCGGTTCCTAGTACTGACATGGTGGCTCACAACCAGTTCCAGGGGATCCAATGTCCTCTTCTGGTCTCTATGAGCACTAGGAACACACATGGTATATATATATATATATATAAACATTAAGGCAAAACACTCATACACATAAATCTTTAAAAACTCAGCCACCTACTTTTTGGGTTGTTTGTGAATGTAAAGGGGTCCTCACTACAAGAATTTACACACTATCATTCTAAGTGTTTGTACAATGAGAAACGTATGTCCTTAGTTCTGACTCTGCTGCTCACTCATGCACTAGGTGTATCAGATATTACCCTCATCACAAAGGCATGTTTTAATTTTAATGTATATGTATTTGTCTCTATATAAGTATATGCCACATGTGTGCAGGTGCCTGCAGAGGCCAGAAGGTGTTGGATCCCCTGAAGCTCTAGTTACAAGTGGTTGTGAGCTGCCCAACTTGGGTGCTGGGAACTAAATTAAGGTCCTCTGGAAAAGTAGCAAGAGCTCTTAACTGCTGAACCACCTCTCCAGCCCAAGTTTAATTATTTACATAATTCCTAAAATTTTGTACATTGGGTTTTCCAATATCTCAATGTCTTTTGATTTGTCATTTAAATTTTTTTAATTAAAGTTGTTTTTCTTTTTAGACAAGGTCTCACTGTGTTACCATGACTGGCCTAGAATTCAAGAGATCTATCTGCCTCTGCCTCTGCCTCCCAAAAGCACCACATCTAGCTAAAACAGTTTTTTAAGTGAAATAATGACTTAAAGAATTATAGGACCTTACTTTGATTCTCTTATTAGACCTAAAGTCAAAAGACTTAGATGTGCATCCCAAGGGAAGTTATAACTTCTGATGGGAAAATAAGGAACTAGAATAGATAATTTCTAAGATTCCTCTCCATTTGTAAGAAGGTGGAAATTTTGCCATTTTAATACAATTTTGCCATATTAAATATAATAGTATTTAATGTATTTATAAATGTATTAACATATTTGTTCACCAAAATTCAATTAGGAAAATTGATTAAGCATTTTCACTCACAATTATTAGTAATACATGCATCCACGGTCTTTGTCACTACCACTGCAAGCTTAGCACTGGAAAAAGTATTGTGTGAATCAGACTCCAGTTGCACAAGAACTTGAGACAAAACATCCAGTCCACCCGAAGATACAAAGCAGTTCTGAACATGTGCTTAAGGAATAAAGTAGCAAAACTATTAATATCTCAAAAAAGGCAGGTATATGAGTTCATTCAATTATTTTATAATAAATACTTTTAATTTGGTTTTTCAAATACTGTAACTCCCCAAAATTACAGAATTAAAAGTTCAGCTTTCATCCATTTATGTGCGCACACACACACACACACACATTCATACATATAAACTTAGTAACACTTCCCCTTGACACAGTACAATTATATGTATAGTAGGATAGTGCTTCATTTTGTGTAGGAGATCTTTTATTTCATTTCTGAGAACTGGTGTTTCTGTGATATTATTAAACAATACTTCATAATTATTAAACAAGTATTTCAATAGCACTATATAGAATAGATTCAGTAAGGGCAAGGAATGGAAAAGTGGTCTAGGCCTATCATCTTAGCACTATGGAAGCAGAGGCAAAAGGTAATGAGTTGTAGTCTGGGCTTACAGCAGGACCCTAACAACATGATAACAATGAAAGAACAGATTCATTTGTTTATCTTGGTATTATAACCAGCAATTACTTCCTAAATTCCAATGTAACTGATATCTCAGATCACTTTACTCTAGAAATGACAATGTGTTCCATTGTTTCAAAAACACATGTAAATTTTTTTTTTTTTTTGAGAAACATGGTTTCCCTATATAGTCTTAGCTGTCCTGGAACTCACTATATAGACTGGACCTTGAACTCACAAACATCCTCCTGCCTCTACCTCTGAAGTGCTAGAATTAAAGGTGTATACCACTACACCTGGCCACATACGCCTTTTATTTATACCTAATTCTTTTTTCTTCTTGGAGCACATAATTCTAATATATTGTTGAGCAAAGACTGAGTGACAGATACATACATATATGCACAAAATGTGTCTTTATACATATTATGCATATATAAGTATATTTTTGAGACAAGGTCTCACTATTTACCCCAGGCTGGCTTAACTCTTAAGATTCTCTTGCTGCTTATTCCCAAGTGATATTATAGTCATGTGCAACCACACCCTCATTTGAAAGTAATGTTGATGAAAAAGTATCCCCTGCGGCTCCAAGTCAGTATCTCTATAGCTCCTATCCTAGAAACAGGCTTATGACCAATGGTGATGAGGCTAGTAGTTAAGATCCTGTCACAATTTTTTTCCTAGTTTAGCCTCATTCCAAGGATGATGATTTAAAAGCCAAGATGATTAAAAACAAAAATTGACTTTTGTATTGTGAATAAAAGGGATATTAACATAAAATAATATCACATCCAGAATTTAACACTATTCACTTATTTGGTACTAGTGACTGAAATCAGAAACATCTACACAGAACATAAGCACTCTACCACTGAGCTACATCTCCTACCACCCCTTTCCAAAAACATATTTTGTATTTATTTGACTAATTAACTTCTTTTTGGAGATAGTAGTAGTAGTTTCTCAATTAGTCCAGGGTGGCACTGAACTCCTAATGTTGCCAAGACTGACCTTTAACTCCTGATTTCCCTGCTTCCACCACTGCTGGGATTACAAAGTTTATGCTGCTGTCTTAGAAAGAAAAATGAAACATTTTACAATGTAAAAAAAAAAAATTCTAGTTTTTATTTATATGGAATGTATTTTTATTTAAATTTATTTATATGGGAAGTGTGGAAACTGCATATGTCATGGAGGGCATAAGGAAGTCAGAGAACAACTTGTGAAGTTGGTTCTCACTTTCTACCATGTGGGACCTTGGGAATGAACTCAGTGTCAGGTTTGGCAGCAAGCACCTTTCCCCACTAATTTCATTGGCCTTAAAACAAACAAAAAAACCTTCACTTAAAAAATTTTATGTTATTTTTACATTTATTTATTCATGTGCATATGTACACATGTACCACAACACACACGTGGAGGTCAGATGACAACTTTCAGAACATGGTTTTCAACTTACATGATATGAATCCTGGGAATCAAACTCAGATAGTCAGACTTAATGAATGGTAAGAGTCTTTACCCAGTGAGCCATCTTGTCATCTTGGTTTTTTTCTTTAGAGTCGGGGCTGGTGGCATGGTTTTTTTGAGACAAGGCTTCTCTGTGTAGCCCTGGCTGTCCTGGAACTCACCCTGTAGAACAGGATCTCACAGAGATCCACCTACCTCTGCTTCTCGAGTACTGGGATTAAAAGCATGTACCACCTGGCTTGCTATCGTGGTTTTAAGGACAAGCACATGTTTTCAATATTATAATGACTACAAGACAGCTTCTTTACTACACAGTATTTTTAATTAATTTTTTTCAAAAAGTGAGGTTTTTTTTCCTTGTTTGTGGTTTTCAAAGTCTAGCTTTTATTTTTCCTTTTTGAGATGAGGTCTCATGTAGCCTAACACATTCTGGACTCTGCAGGTGCCTGCATAGATGTAGTGCATATAGACAAGCAAGCACCCTACACATGAACATTATAAATCTCCTCACAATTTATATATTTCTCCAACATTTTGCTGTGTTAGTCAACTTTATTGCAGTGACAACATACTTAAATTAACTTATAAGGAAAACATTTTACTTTGGGCCATCATTTTAGAGATTACAGTCTATGATTTGTGGCTCTGGAGCCTATGGCAAGGCAGTACACATCATAGTAAGACATAAATAGGTTATAAAGGAAACTGATCACCTGTTGGAGCCAGGGAGGCAAAAACAGAGAGGAGCAAGGGTTTTTACATTCTCTTCAATGGTGCATCTCAATGACTTATTTCCATTAGGACCTACATCCTAAAGATTCCATGAATTTCCCATGAGCTATTTCCAAATAGCACTATAAACTGAGGACAAAACCTTCTATACATGGGTCTTTGGGAGACACTTATTAAAATAATTGCACAGGCATTGCATATATTTCATTAAATTTACAGTTAAGTATTTAGTCAAGTATTTTCATTTTTTGAGATGTAGTATCTATCTTTAGCTCAGGCTAGTCTCTAATTCACTATTCATTATGGTCTCAAAATCCTCCTGCCTCAGCCTCTCAAGTGCTGGGATGACTGTGTGTCATACTGTCTTGTTTTTTACTCCCAGATTTATTGCTGGGATGACTGTGTGTCATACTATCTGTCTTGTTTTTTACCCCCAGATTTATCTACTTTTATTTCATGTATATGCATGCCTGTCTGTCTGTATGTGTACCATGTGCATTTCTGGTGCCCATGGAGGCCAAAAAAGAGGGCATTGAATCCTCTAGATCTAGAGTTACAGTTGTGAACTGCCATGTGGGTTATGAGAATTGAATCTGGGTCTTCTGTAAGAGTAGCCAGTACTCTTAACTTTTGATCCATTTCTTTAGTCCCAGGCTAGATTTTTTTTTAAAGCATACTATTATAAATGATGGGGGCTGGGGAAATGGCACAATGGGTAAAGCACTTGCCAGCAAGCATGAGGATCTAAGTTCGGATCACCAATAACTACATCAAAGCTGCTCAAGGCACTGTGTACCTAGAGCCCCATTGTAGATGTAACCAATCGTCTTATTAAAATAAGAAACACAGAGCCAATGTAAAAGAGAAAGCCGAGATGTCAGAGCTCAGAGCTAAAATCTTACCTCCTGCAGTGCTCCTAGCTTCCCTGAGAGAGCTTCTTCCTGTTTGTCTGTCTTTAAATAGTCTTTCTGTTCTGCCTTCTCATTGGTTGTAAACCCAACCACATGAATGCCTCGTCACTGCCTGTAAGTACCGCCCTCCAGGTCTTAAAGGCATATGTCTCCAATACTGGCTGTATCCCTGAACACACAGAAATCTACCTAGCTCTTCTAACCACCACGCTCTTGCTATGGCTCTAATAGCTCTGACCCCAGGGCAACTTTATTTATTAATATACAATTAAAATCACATTTCAGTACAAATAAAATATCACCATACCCCAGTGCTGGGGAAGCAAAGATAGGCAGGTTCCAGGGGCTTGCTGGTCAGTAGTAAGTCTAGCTGAAACAAAAAGCTCCAATTTCACTGAAAGACCTTGTCTCAAAAAGTATGGTAAAGAGTGACAGAGGAAGATACCCAAAGTTATTCCTTGACCTCCTTGAAATACACAAAGAAGTGTACCTGTAGCCACATAATTAATATAAGCATACCCCCTCAACAGACACAAATGACAGTTTGAGGTTCCAATAATTTGTTGGGACATATAGAAATACAATTGATTTTGTATGTCCTTATATCCTGCAATCTACCTAAAATCACAATTAGCTATAGTTGTGTGTCTGGATATGATACTATCACATCATTTATGGGAAAATTCCTTCATTTTAATCTCTATGAATTTTATTTCACTTTCTTGCCTTATTTCAATGGCTAGGAATATCCAATAAAATATTAAATAAAAATAATGAGAATAGCAGTTACATGTAGCATTATATATAGCCCTTTATCACATTAAGTATGTTCCCTTCCATTCCTAGTTTACCAAGAGTTCTTATTATGAAGACATATATTATGTATAATACTTTTCTTCTAATTATTAAGATTATCATATAGTTTTTTTCTAACCTGTGATTTATGGTTTTATAATGTTAAACCAATCTTGCATTTCTTTGAGATAGACCACTTAGTCATAATGTATTATCTTTTTTCCATATAGTTAGATTTTTAGAAAATACTTTTTGAATTCATACTAGCCTGGAACTCCTTATGTAGATCAGGATAGACTCAACTGATGGCAATCATCCTGACTTGATTTTTAAATATTATTAATATTAATATTTATTATTAGATATCTTTATATCTAAGGCTGGGAATGTAACTCGGAATTGGTTAGAATGCTTGTCAAGCATCCACAGATCAGTGGGTTAAACTTCTAGCAGCACATAAACCAAGAATGATGGTGCACATTTGTAATTCCAGTATTTGGGTGGTAGAGGCAGAAGTTCAGGAGTTCAACATTATCCTTGACTACATAGAGAATTTGAAGCCAAGAAGATTATATGAGGCTTTATCTCATATAAGTAAACAGTATTTTTATTTCTATGTGCATAATAGATATTGACCTATAAATTTGTTGTAATGGCTTCTTTCAGCTTGGGTGTAATGCTAGCCTTATAGAATGTATTTGGAAGTGTTTCTTCCACTTCTTATTCTAGGAATAATTTATGTAGAATTTTTTTGGGGGTGGGGGTGGGTTCCAAAAAGTAGAATTCACCATAAAATTATCAGGCTTTGAAATTCTCCTATATTTACTACAACTTTAATTTATGAATTCTGTCTCTTTGATATAAAACTATGGAGTCAGGTGTGATAGCACACACCTGTAATCTTAGCACTTAAGAGGTGGAAGGGGAAAACCAGTTCAAGGCCAGTCTCAGCTACACAGCAAGTTCAAAGCTAGTCTGAGCTACATAAAACCCTGTCTTGAAAAAAATAACAAACATGGGGCTGGAGAGATGGCTCATTGGTTACGAGAACTCTCTTCTCTTGAAGGGAGGAGATGTTGATTCAGTTCCCAGCACCCACATGGCAGCTCACAACTGAACTCCAATTGCAGGGGCATTTACACCCTCTACTGGTCTCCAAAGGCGTAGCACATATGAGCATACAAGCAAAGACTCATACTCATCAAAATTAAGAAAGAAAAAAAAACTTCAGAAACAAAAAATAAAAAAAGAACAAACAAAACCAATAGAGGAATATTCAAGTTATCTATTTCTTTGGAGTAAGTTCTAGTAATTTCTATATTTTTAAAGAATTTGCCCAATTCATTAGAATTGTCTAATTGCAAGGTGTAAAACTGTTTCTATATTATTTTGTTAAATTCTGATAGTTCTTGAGGGAGGGATGGAGAGCTGGCTCAGCAGTTAAGAGAACTGTCTGCCCTTCTAGCAGACACAGGTTTGATTCCTAGCACTTAAGAGGTAGCTCTGTATAACTGTATCTCCAATCCCATGGAATCTAACTACCTCTGCTGGCCTCCAATGGCACCAGGCATACATGTAGAACACAGGCATACATGCAGACACACACTCATACACATCAAATAAAAACAAGGAAACATAATATAGAGAGAGTGATGTCACTTTTCATGGTAATTTAGATTGATAATTTAGATCTTTTGTAGGGGGGTAGGTTGGGGAGGTTGAATATAGTGCATCATACTGTAGCCTAGTCTGGCCAGAAACTCACTATATATGTAACCCAGACGAGCATGAACTTTCAGCCATCCTTATCCCTCAGCTTTCCACAACCTCCAGAAATCCAAGTCTTTAATAACCACATATTTGGCTATCAGTCATCTTTTCTAGGTTTTTTTCTTTTGTTCATTTATTTTTAAAAATTATATTTATGCTCTGACCAGGGAAGCAGATCAGTATCTTGCTTAGCTATCAGTAGAAAAGCTTCCTCCTGCAGAGACCCATAGCCAGACATTATGCAGAGAGAGAGAGAGAGAGAGA